CCACACCCGCACTCACACCCACACCCACACCCACACCCACCCCCACACCCACACCCACACCCACACCCACACCCACACCCACACCCACACCCACACCCACACCCACACCCCACACCCACACCCACACCCACACCTCACACCCACACCCACACCCACACCCACACCCCTAATTTTTTGTTTTTTCTTTTGATAACTATGATTAAAAGCTAGTTTTCATTCGGTTGGATCCACATGTCTTTTGTTTTCAAACTTGTCAACTGAATTGATAATGCCTATCGAAATAAAAGAGAAATTAAATTCTTTAATCTTTATTCTTTACTATATACAAATAATAGTATCAATGAATCGATCATTGTACACAAAAGCCGTCCTCTTATCATCTTTCTCCGTCAAGGATCGTTTACGAGTGTACTTTTCTCTTGAGTAATTGAGATGTTAAATTACAACCTTCTGGTATGGAAGAAAAAAAGATATTTTAGAAACCTACATCATCTGGAACAGAACAAAAATCATTACCAGATGTGCTTACGAAAACGAAAAATACAAAATGTGAAGACTTTTCTTGAAGTGCGAGAAAAAAGATATCAGAGAGTTCTTTCTTCAAAAAAATATCAAATACTTATTCTTTACAGTCTGTATGAATTCTTTCTCAAACAGGATGTTATACATGTTCATTTTACAAGTGTAGAAATGTGAAAAAGATCCAAATACTCTCATAAAACCTATCAAATTGAATTTTTTAGCTAATGTTGTGATTTAATAGATCAAATCCAAACATACAAGAATATCAATATTAAAAGGTAAAATTTGACTACACAGTACAAGAATTTATTAAAATATCCACTAGATGTCGTAGGATTTACATGTTTATTTGCTATTAGTTATTTGACTTAGATATACTCGAAAACTAAAGTATTGTTATGAAGTTGGCTACGAGTCAGTTTATGAGTTGGTGGGCTGTTACATATTTAAAGTGTATTGTGGATATAGATCGGAGTATCGTTGCTTGGTTGATATTGTCTTGGTGCAGTGTTGGAAAGCCAATGCAGATAGAAGAAATTTTGATGACTCAATATTACTTCGAGTTACGAAAAATCATTGTTGGATTCTGTCGATATCAAACATGTTAGAATTGCTAGGCAAAAGTCGAAAGTTCTCTATCTGTGCATGATTTTGTGAAGGCTATGAATAACAGAATGAGGAAGTTGCATACACTAGTAGTGAATCATCGGCATCTTTTTCGTTCTCAACACTCATGTCTATACAACTTCAAATCTAGAAGAAGATAATGTTTCAAAGTAAATATGGAGGTTGGGATTCTATTCATGACTTTGACACAACCAATAGAAAAAGACGTTGGGAATTACATAGTTGCCAATGTACAAATAATGCAAGAACATGAAAAAGACATTCTATTGCTACGTATATACCATCATATAAAAGAATTCGTACTTCTATTTTTCGAACAATACAAAAAATATTTCTTTGATTAGATCACTTACAGATATATCTTCTCTAAAAATGGGCAAAAGTAAGAATTTACATGTAGAAATATTGAATTTTTAGTAACTAATGTAATCCACAGAACATTCAAAATCGCACTCACATCCTCAGATCCAGTATGTGACAGATCTATCAGCCGCCGCGAGAGTTGCACAACTTGTAGCTCAAGTTAATAGACTATCTGCGGAACGAGCAAGAATTGAATATGTGAAAGAGTACGTACAAGATCCGAAATTACTTGAACAAATCCAAGAATACCAAGCAAAAAATCGAGAACTAATGAAAACATATGATGAGCTTCACCAAGAACTTCAAAATCGAAACATAAATACCTTCGACGATTTGGAAGAACATTATAGTAAGGGTACACAGGCGTTGAGACGCATGGCTGCAGCGACACAACCAATGCCAATGACAGGAGCTAATTTTGCTTTTTTTGGTATCACTTCATCCGGTAAAAGTACAATGCTTAACCAATTTCTCGGGAAACAAGTTGCAGCCACTGGTGCTGGTGATACAACAACTCAGGTGCAACGATATGATGGTAATGGTTTTTCTCTCTATGATATTCCCGGCAAAAATGATGAGGTATCTTATTTTACAATGGAATATGTTGCTTTTTGGAAGGGTTTGACAGCTCGTCTCGTACTTATTACGGCAACAGTAAAAGAAATGACTAGTGTATGTCGTGTACTTGATGCTATTAATCTGACATATGATATTGTAGTCAGTAAGTTTGACCAACATCAGGAAGATGAAAGAGATCAGTTAAAAGCACAGATTCATGCTGAAATCAAGCAACTTGAACTTAAAGGCGTTGAAAACGTCTGGTTCGTCAGTTCTAAGTATCCTCAAATGTTTGATGATTGGCTTCAAATGGTTCATAGTCTCACTGGAAGATCATACAACTTTAATAATATGACAATAAAGAATAAGACAGAAACCGATTCTAGAATAATATTCTTCTCACAATCTGAAACGAATATTACGACTTCAAAACTTGTACAAGATCAATTTTCTTTGCAACTCAACAAGCTGAATTCAATGGGATTTAATGATGAGAATAAGAACCGACAATTACTTATTAAAAATAATGGCGATATAGCTACTACTATCGACTCACTCATGAACAGTACCATCACCACTTTTGACTTATGTGTAGATAGTACTAGTACGGTCGATAAGTTTGCAGAGCAGCTACAGACACTAAAATCGATGGGTTTTACCAATGATGAACAGAACCTAACGTTGCTTAGAGAATTCAATGGTGACTGTGAAAGTGTGATAGACATATTAATGGAATCTTGATAAATAGAGTGTATATTTACAACCATAATAAAAATTAATCTTTCTTCGAGAATTTTATTTACTTCAATGTGTTGGAAAAAATATCCATTAAATGATCATCCTATGAAAGACGCAACATTGAGGAAAATAAAAGAGCAATAAATGTAAACATGAACCTTATCAGTGTGCCAAAGAAAGAATTTCTGAATCGCTATTCTTTTTAATCCAGATCATGATGGTAAATAGGCTTATACACCATCCCACCAACATTAATAATAATGCTTTAGTTATTTACTCATAATAACATTTGTAAATTATTCCAAACCTTGAAATAAAATTGTAATTTTAGTAGAAAATAGAGCATGTTCTTTGTTAAAATTTTATACTTGTTTCCATCGGATCTAATTTGGACTGTATCGTCTTCTAACTCTGACGTTGAAGCCTAGAACATAAAAGACTATGCATGTTTTGACGTTCAACTTGAGACAGACGATTATTTATTGGTTGAAATATTTTCAAAAGGAAAAATGTTAGAAGAATTTTGCAGTAGCATCGATATATACAAAGCTTATTTTAATATTAATTGTTATCGCTCCAACAGCATTGTCCTATTTTGTTTTGAGAAAAGTTCAACTTTCTACCTTAACTATTTATTTTTGAGAAATCAATCTAAGAAATGTGATTTCTAATGAGATCAAGATCTTTTTGCAAGAATATTATACAAAACTGACTATTTTCTTTATCTAAAGCTCAAACGATTGATAAGAAAAATAATGTGATTACAATGAAGGACTTCCATTTATTATTTAGAAAGCGACTTTTGTTCTAGCACTTCTACATATGTAAATGCTTCCCATATCGAAATGAACCTGTAAGAGAGGACTGCTGAAATCCAAAGCATGACTGTCCACTGACTTTATAACTTAAAGTAGTATTTTACATTCACCAATATCAATAGGCGATGAGGAGTCTTGCATTCAATCTTAAAACGAAATCATTAGTGTCACAAATTCATTTTAGTTAAGACCACCAGATATTTTATTAAATTAAAGCAACTTTCTTCACTTAAAGTTTAAATAAGTTTTTTAACTTATTTTATCTTGTTTGAAAAAAAGTATTGTAAAATACACCGAACCTTTACAACAAAGAGATAGACAAAAAACGAAATTTTCTTAGAAATAAAACAATCTGATTTTATATCTCAAAAATATGCAATAAGTGACGGGAAACTATGTTTTTTGTCAAGAGACATCGATTCCTTTCTATGTTTGAGGATGTTTTAGATAGTTGACCATTTGAAGCCAGTCTGGAAATTGTGCTGGATATTTAGCACTAACAAAAAACACATGTCCTACACTTTTCAACCCAATTTTTGCAATTTCTTTTCGT